GTCCAAAGAAGGATGCTTTGCCTCCTGAGGTAGTGAATGCCCCATTATTGGAGATCCCATGTGGCAAAGTGAGTATTCACGTCTAGCACTTTCCCCACTGCCCTACAACTTGATGCACCTTATTGACCCTGAGCCTTGGCTCTGGCAGTATTTCATCCATTGCTCTCTTCTTTCAGGAATGGCATGCCTGCTCGTCAGAGGGCAGCTGTGTAGGCATCCCATCTGCCATTCCATAGAAACAGCATGCCTATGAGTTCACCTCTATCCATGGAGGCTTCTGGTGGTGCTGTGGAAGACCTGGGTTCAAATTCAACCTCAGATACTTCCTAGCTGTATGACCCTGGGCAAGTCACTTATCTGCTGTTTGCCTCATTTTTCTTAGCTATAAAATGGGAATAATAATAGCACTTGCCTCTCAAGGTTATTGTGAGGATCAATAGAAATAATGTTTGTAAAGCACTTAGTGCCTGGCACATAGTAGGTACTTAATAAATGCTTGTTCCCTTCCCATCCTTTGTTTCCCTCTTCTATTATTAAATCTTTTTATAATATATTAATGACAAAAAAAATTTCCATTGTCATTTGACCAGCCATTTGTGGGATTAAAGTCTTATAACTTTTCTCCTAACTTGCTTATAATGTATAGGTTTAGCTTACTTAGGTAATGAATTAATTTTAATACATATCTGTGTTATCATTTATCTTAAACTGTATCTACCTAGGACTGCCAGATCGATTCCAAAGCCAAAACTATGATTTGACTTCGGTGACATAGCTGAAAGTCATTTGAATAAAGATCTCCACTTCTGCCAACATCTTCCAGTTTTCACTATTTAAAGGCCAGAAAAAATTACATGTAGTAGCAGAACATTTCCATTTCTGATATCAACCAGACTGATCAGAGCAGATTGTATTTTGCATGTAAATAGCCGTGCAATACATGTTGCTTTCATCACTGCTCTTGCTGCTAATGCTGCTTCCAAATGCCTTGTGAGCAGTGTAGTGCAGGCAACCCTCCCAAGTTCATTGGACAGTTAGTAGTTGTGAGGTGAAAATACACATTTCCATGGGAAGTGTACCCCACCAAATGCTATTTAACCCATGATGTTGCTAAAATGTGATATGGTGGAAGAAGTGCTGGATTGACATAGGGGGCCTGGATTCAAATCCTCAGTCTTCCATATGTTAGCTCTGTGAATCTCTGCAAGTCAACCTTTCTGATCCCCATTTCCTGTTCTTTTCTCATACTTCCTACCTCACAGTGTCATTGGGAGCAAAACACTTTGCAGACTTTAATGTGCTGCATACATGTGAATATTATATTCTTCAGTATTTTAGTGGGTCTGTGCTCTCCCCAGTGTGAGTTATTTCTTTTACCAGTGTAAATCACCAACCATCTGTTCCTTCTTAGACTCAGTAATTTTTATCTGTCTTTGCAGAAGTCCTTCACAAATTCTCCTGAAAGTCAACATGCATTTAATAAGAACTTTTACTATATGCCAGACAGTGAGCTAAGTACTGGGGATACAAAGAAAGGCAAAAGGCAGTTCCTGCCCTCAAGGAGGTCACAGTCTAGGGAAGATAACATGCAAACAACTGTGTAAAAACCGGATACAGAAAGCAGAAATGAGAGCTAATCCACAGAGGGATGGCAAGAAAGCACCTACATCTGTCTAGTCACTGCAGGCTTTCCCATTGTTCTTGAAAAACTTTGTGTATACAAGTTCAAGGCTTGGTCTCACCATCTGTTATCCCTCAGTTTCTCTAGATGATTTGCCCACCTCCTTTTCTGGTCATAAATATTCCAGGGGTTTCTTCTCTTCTTAAGCTCTTAATATGCTTCATCCTACTTATATTTCTACCATACTTCCTTCTATTGACCTATGAGTCATTTGCAAACTGTATGTTTGCAATGAATAAATGCAATATTTGGAATATTAATAATTAAACAAAATAAGAAAATAATATTTTCTTTTTCATTATTTTAATTTTAAAATCATTAATTATTATTTTAATTTATTTATTTAGCTTTTTTTTTTGCCGAGCAATTGGGGTTAAGTAACTTAACCAGGGTCACACAGCTAGTAAGTGTTTATGTCAAGTGTCTGGTCTGAGATTGGATTTGAATTTAGGTCCTCCTGAATCCAGGGCCGGTGCTCTATCCACTGCGCCACCTAGCTGCCCCTGTCTTATTTAGCTTTAAAATTTAGTGGTATCTTTTTCCTTGTATCACTAGCATTATTCTTATGCATGTCAACAATGATCAGGTTAATGTTTTGGTTCACAAATAGAGTACTGAGAGAGAGTTTCCTGAAGGCGAGATATCAGTGTGAGGTTGTGGGAAGGTGGGGAAGGGAGTTCAAAGGGGTGTGTTTTCTTCAGGAAAAAAGTTGCACAAAGAATCATTTAATTCTGCTTTGAGCAGTAAAAGATAGCCGACAAGAGAGAAGAACGGTGATGGTAGGGAAGACATATTGGCTTATCCAGTTCCATATGTCATTTACGAAGTGCCAGAATGGCTTGGTTATTGTTCAGGATGCATAGGAGAAGGGAGAGGCAACATATAATCAGTTGGTCCTATATACAGTATTAATAAGTCAGGTGTGCACAGCTCAGAGAATGCCTGTATATGTTTTCTAGGCTAGGAATATTCTGATATGATTTTAAAGTTAATGAATACCAGTGTTAGATTATTACTAACAATCCCTCAGATTTGCTTTCTTTTGATTACCCTAGTGAAATACACAGGATAGTAGTCTTTGCAGGAATGGCCTGTTAGACTGTGGAGGCAGCACCTTTTCTCCTCGTCAGTTAATTTATATTTCCGAAAGAAGGCTCTCTCCTGTTCTTTTAGTTATGATACATCCTGCAACTTCTGCAGAATAATGCATCATGTTGTCCCTTTTAAGTATTTTTCTTTTCTGGGAAACCAATAGCTTTAGAAAACCAGGCCAACGAAGACAAGACATTGTGGGCTGTCAATAAATTACTTATATATTTAGGTTTAAACATATGTCAGTCAGTTAACTGTTTCCTTTTTTTGAAACAATATTATCCATTTCTTTCTGGCTTAGGCTCTTATTACATTGAAATTATATGTAATCATATATAATTCAGTTATAAATTAATTGGTAATGGAGATGAATAAAATCTTAGTCAATGTGCAGGTAAAGAAGAATCTGAAATTCTAATATTTTTCCTAGCCTATTTCTAAATCCTTTTTGTCTTTTTAATACTACCTACACTGCTAATAAAAGATAACCCCCCCACCACTTGTGAGGAATGCTTGGGGCATGGGGCATGGAGTTCATATTCAGGGAGGGGTTAGATTAGAGGGTTTTGGAAGTCTCTTCCAGTTTTGAGATTGAACTTTCACATTTTCTCACCAACACAAAATCTGCCAAAAATCTAACTAAAAGGTAAAAGGAAGAACATAGTATTTCTTTTTCACCTGCTTGCCTGCTGTTTCATATATCCTGATGGATTAGTTATTGAATGTGACATGATTCATCTTCATTTTAAGCAAATTTTTGGGACATGCTAACTTACCTCTCTGGTTAAAGAAATTGTGTTAGCACAGTTTTCTGAGTGTAGTGCACTGAGGTTGAGGCTACTTATACAGGAGGGAATTGGTGTGACTGCAAGGTGTGATCAGTGGCTCATCAAGATGACTCTTTAAGTAAGGAGATGGGCATCCTTAGTACTCCCGTAACTCTGTAGATGGCTCATGGCAAATTGGAACAGCCAGAGCTGCTCATTCAATGAACAGTTAGATCTGGTGTGCTTAGTTCCCTCTTCCCCTTTAAACCCAGGGCCTTAGTGACTTACATAGATTAACACAGAGAGAGAGGCCACTTATTTTGAGTTATTAGTTTTAGAATTTGTCAAGAGAGATTGAAATGATGTGTTACAGCATTTAGTTAGAAAATGGTTTCATGGTCTTTGAGTGCTCCTTGGTCAAAGTTGTCTGTCAGGTTGGACTTATTTTGATTTGGTTGGTACTAGAACTAATAGTTAGTGGGAAAAGCTCCCCTCCTCTGTCATATAAGTGACTCTTTTCCAGATGCTTTCTGACAAGCTGATAAAAATAGGAACTGGATCTGAAATCCAAGCAATTTTGCTCAGGTTAGCTCTTATAGACCTGAGAGATAGAAGGAGAACAAATGTGTAGGTTGAGGGAATTCACATAGTTGGTTGGAAATTCCAACTGTAGGTGAGTGTGCCACATTTTATCTTGTGACTTGGGTATAGCTTGTATTGTGACAGAGAGTGGTGGTAAATGATGGAGTCCTGCCTTGTAGCCTAGGGGGAAGCTGTTTAAGTAGAAAAAGATCTGGACCAGATAATACTCAAGCATCTGTAATGGTGTGTACAGAGGGCAGATGTGGGCTAATGTTAATGAATGTTGATGTTAATTATAGCTGTTTTAATTAAAAATTATGAATGAGTTCTTGACTAATTTTCAAATAAAATTTACAGAGTGGTTTAAGTCATTTGCTCAAGTGTTTCCTCATTTAACAGGGGATCAGCGTCGTTAACTCTGTAGAACAGACTTAGCTTTAAACATTAATTTGATAATGTGTAATTTAAATGTTTTAAAACTTTTGACAAATATGTAAAAGACTACAACAACTTGTATATTATGGTTACCAAAAAATAATTCAAGACTGAGGAGAAAAAAAATTGTACATTTTTTGTTCATTATATTATTTTAGAGCACATGTGCATTTGTGAACGTGTCCTTTTATTTCGAGGATGATATAGATGGGAACAAATGAGATTTTACTCTGTGTCTGTATTTCTTCTTTTCCATTGGCATTAGTTCTTAGGTAATAGCCTTTCTTTTTTGTTGTGGTTCAATTTGTTAGAGAGATATATAGTTCAGTTTACTTATTTTTTGCTGTGTGTTCTTTAATAATCGCCTTAAGGCATATAATCGTAGCATGTGGGAGCTGGTAGGGACCTTAGAGATCATCTGATTCAACCCCTTTACTTTACAGATGGGGAAAATGCACCCAGGGAGAGCAAGTCCTTTTGAGAGTATGCAGGTATGTGGCATAAATAAACAAATAGGGATCCTAACTTAGTCTTGGCCAAATAATTTGCCATTTCAACTTTGAAAGAGGTGTAATCCATGCTTGTTCTCTCAGTTAAAATGATAATATTCCTTTGAAAACTTATAAATCACCACTTGCTTAATTATGCAGTTATGGTTACCAATTAGTTTATGTTGTGCAATTAGTAATAGTTGAATATTCTTATAATCAATAAGTTAGAAAAATTCATTTTAAGCATCAGTCCATTTTTATAGTAGCAGTAATAGTTTTTTTGAACTTTAAAATGATTTTACTTAATTGGAAAAGAGTACCAAATGTGGGGTTGATGAAGCAGCAACAAATTTAGCAGTGGAAATATATTAACTCATTCATAGAAGTAGGAACTAATCCATTTGAAATCAATATGTATTTTTGCCTTTTTATTGGCCCTTTGTCCTCTCTCTAGACCAGTGATGGTAAGAAAATGAAATATGGGATAAAGGAAGAAGAGAACAGAGAGTGTTGTGTTTAAAAATGTTTTCCCTGCTAAATGTATTCCACCACGTGTGGTGTGGGCCAGTTAGTAGATGGGACAAGTTGGCAACCTATTCACTGGGATAATCTTACAGGATGACTTGGATAAGTGAGACCACAGTTTTACTGCTACTGAAATTTAGTTAGAATAACAACAACAACAAGAAAGAACATTTATTAAGTACCTACTATGTGCAAGGTTGGAGCAATTAGGTGGTGGAGTGCCAGGCCTAGAGTCAGGAAGACTCATCTTTATGAGTTCAACTCTGGCCTCAGACACTTAGGAACTGTGTGATCCTGGGCAAGTCATTTAACCCTGTTTGCCTTAGTTTCCTCATCTGTAAAATGAGCTGAAGAAGGAAATGGCAAACCTCTCCAGGATCTCTGCCAAGAAAACCCTAAACGGGGTCATGAAGAGTTGGGCATGACTGAAATAACTGAACAACAGACAACATGTGAAAGGTATTGAGTTAGGGTCTAAGAAAAAAGTTTTTGAAGGTGTGGTTGTATTCTACCTGGCTTTCTATAGTGAAAAAGTCCAAGAAAAGGAAATATTAGGATAAAATGAAATATAACACCTTTACGCTTATCTCTCTCTCTCTCTCTCTCTCTCTCTCTCTCATTTTTTGGCTTGTATCATACATTTCTGGGTATTGTTTTTTAACTTTTCATGTATATTTTTTGTCAGCCCTACAAAATTGTAGGCTCTTGGGCCCATGCTTCATATTCCCTTTAGTACCTAGCACGGTACCTAGGACAGTACCTTGCACAAAGGAGCAGCCCAATGTATTGGAGATAAATCTGGGCTGGGAGTTGTCAGATAGATTCAAATCTTGGCTCCAACCCTCTCCCACCATGTAGCTACAAGCAAGTTGTCTGTTCTGGTCCTTGGTTTCCTTATTGTAAAACTAAGATGACAGTTTTCCTGTTACCAAACTTCCAGAATTTTATAAGTAAAGTGATTTGTAGATATTCAAAGCTGTATGTAAATCCAAGGGACTAGAGTTCTTATTATTGATGGACATTAGATAAATGACAGACTGAACAAAGGAAGGTTAAGGACCAGAGAAAATAACTATTAAAATCACAAAGTTAAAAATAAATCCATTGAGTCGTACGCCCACTAGCTCTTGAGTGTTAGTGTTGATTATTCTTGCTAAGTGCCGTTTTATTTGAAGAACATCCTTATCATCATCAAAATCAAAAAGCCTGCATTAAGCACTTGCAATGACACGCTTGGCAGTGGTTTTATTCATGTGAGCAGGTGTGTTTGATAAGACACACTGATGCAAGACAGCCAGCCCCTTCCCACAATACATGTGTGCAAATATCTTCAATGTAAAATTTTCATTTAAAATAATTTAGCAGCATGAACCCAAGTCCCTAGACATTGGTTTCTTTTTTTTCCTGTACACTGAACAACATAACCCAAAGTTAGCTGACTGTGGGGAGCTGTAACACTTGGAGGGAGGTGAATAAGAGTTATTAGATTTTGAGATCTTAGGTTGCTCTAACTAAGAAACTATTACACACTCCATTGAATATGATGTTAGTTTTATGTAAAGTTCAACTAACCCAAGTGATAACTTGGCCTATTTTTCTAATGTACCACTGCTTTTAGGCCGTTCAGTGTTCAGCAGTAACTAGTTCTGTGGCCACTACACAAGACACACTTTGTAAGCAAATTACATAGCAAAATAAACTGTATTTCCTACATAGAACTTACAATATTGTGCTAATTTGTGTTTATAAAACTAGATAACAGATCAACTGACTTGTAATAGCCCATATTTATGTAGTATTTTCTTATCCATTATCTCATTTAGTTCTCACCGTAACCCTGGGAGGTAAATAGGGCAAGTATTCTTCTCCCCATTTTACAGATGAGGAAACTGTTCTTATAGCAAGGGTGTGGCTGGAGTGGCCCTCATACCCAGGCTTTCCAATGCTGAGCCCAGTGGACTTTATACTTTGCCAAATTGCTTCATCGTGTGTAAGGCTGTGTCTCTATAGACCTACCAGAATGACTCTTGTAACTGGACTAAAGTCTTCTTTGGACACCTCAGTGTAGGTGGAAGGTAACCCTGGAGTCTCAGACTCTGCAACATACTGTATGTCTCTAACCTGAAGATCAGTGTAGCTAAGGGTGATGTCATTCATCCCCTGGCGCCTGGCCACCAGGGGATGGATTTTTTTTTTTTAACCACAGCAGTCATAGGCTACTCAGCTTGCAGCATTGCCATTGTATTTACCTGAAAACAGAAAGGGTTAATGTATGTAGCTACATTTAGCCTTTCTGGGTATTAGCATTGAGCATATAGCCTTGAGATATTGTAAGCGGTGGTGTCAAACTCAAATAGAAATGGATCCTTAGAAGACAACAAATTAACATTATTTATGTTGTGTTATTTTTTAAAATTTAATTTGTTAAACATTTCCCAATTACATTTTAATCTGGTTTGGGCCACACTTGAGTTTGGTGGGTTGTTGGTGAATTTGACAGCTCTGTATGTCATTGGCTCAATATTGTTGTACTTTACTTTAGCTCTAGACCAGAGGATTAATAATAGCAATCAGAAATTTAGAGCTAGAAGAAATATACCATCTAGTTCAGGGGTTCTTAACCCTTTTTTGTGTCCTCTACCTATTTAGAAGTCTAGTGAAACCTGTGGACTCCTCAGACTGTGTTGTTTTGTTTTTGGAGCTTGGATCTTCTTCTCTTGCCCAGGCTAGAAGTGCAGGGGCTACTCATAGGCTTACTTCCATTCTAATAGGCGTGAGAGCTATGACCTCATTTTCTGACCTGGACCAGTCTGCCCTTCTTTAGGCAACCTGATGATTTCCTTTTCCTGAAGGCTGACTATATTAATAACAAACTTCATGCAGAAACCTGATAGGCTTAGCCCATTGTAGCTCAAAACTCCCGAGCTCAAGAGATCCTGCCAGCCTCAGGGCTGTTAGCTTGGATTACAGTCTGGCCCCAGAATAATGTATTTAAAAATGAATTGTAAATTGATGGAAGTGCTAAATTTTAGCTAAAGATGAGTGAAAATAAAGATGTAATTTTTTTCCCGTCCAAGTTCATAGACTTCCTGAAATCTATCCACAGGACCCCTTGGGGGTCCATGGACCCCAGGTTAAGAACCCATACTGTAATTCAGCACCCTTGTTTTTCAGATAAAGAAGTTGAGGTCCATGTAGATGAAAGGACTTACCCATGCTCGCAGCTACTAAATAGCAAAACAGAGATTTGAACCCAAATCTTCAGCCCTTTCTACTGTATTTCCTTTTAATTCTATTCAATTTAACAAGCTTAGACTGTGAAGTACTAACTGCAGGGCACCTGCTAGGTCCCTGCCTATCAGCTGCTTTTGGAAATAGCCTCCTAACATCTGGGCAATAGGAAGTTGTACAAAAGGGAGGTTCTAGAATATTGCTATAGTGTCCTCATGTATTTTTTTGTTGAAATAATGCAAATGAGAAAGGTTTTTTACCTAGGCAGATAAAAAAGACCCTTTTGCCGTATGATATAAATTACATAATCATGCATCATCCAGTCTTGCTTTTTGTTAAAAATCTTGTTTCTAGTTTAGCTTGGAATAGTATCATCTTTTTGAAAGGGGGGAAAAAAACTATTGCCACCTGTAATCTTAAAAAATTTCAATATTAAGATAGAAATCTTTTTTTCCCACTCTGTTTAGAGTATGTAAACCGAGAAGGTATTTTTCTGTAAAATGCATCTCTTTCTAGGTTTTTGTTTTGAAAGATTTGTACTCAGGTAATGTAAATATATGATTGGATTTATGAAGCTCAAGCTATGCTCATTTAAAAAGACCTGACTGCAATTCCATGCATATTTTTATTTTATACAAAATATCTTCACCCAACAGCCAGCTGCCTCTTTAAATGGGTTCCCCTGTGCTAAGTATTATGGTCCCTTGGCCAAAATCTTCTGTCCTCTAGGAAAAAAAAAATGTTTAGTTGGCTCTGAATAGATGCACATGAGATATTGGCATGGTGGAATAATTTGCAAGATCTTCCAGGGAGGGTATTAGCATATAAATAGCAGATGCAATGGCGACCATCACAGCTGAGTACATTTAATTTTTAGTTTATAAGATAGAATGGGTTTTTAAATGCATAGCCATCAAGCCGGCTGAAAGACAAATGAAGTTTAGAGTTCACTTGTCTGAGGATGCCTTACATCATTTTTTTTTAAAAAAGGGAAACAGACACACATAAAACTGAACAAAAGTGATTTCTTGGGTGAAAAGTAATTGAGATTGCGAAGCAAGTTAATTAGACCGTACAAAATTTATTTAATGGTCCAGCTGTAGTTTCCAGCCAGCGGGAGGCTCCAGTCAGTAGATATGGCTTCCTTCTGTACTGCCTCTGCTCCTTCTCTCTCTTTCCCTCTCAAATAATTAGCGTTCTCACTGCATCGAGTTCTGTAAACTGATTGCATTGTATATTTTCGC